TCTTTTGAAAGGTATATGTATACCTATTGTCCATGCTCGTTTACCCAAAAAAGTTTTTTTATTTCAACCAACCCAGTTCATCAGCGTCGCTCGAGTACGGACCAAAAACCAATATAAGCACAAAGTAAGAACATAACCCGGGTTCAATATTATTTTAATTTATAAGGTGTGTAAATATCAAGCAGCAGTACCAGCATTACCAGTTAATAAAGCTATTAATTGATCAGTGGTCAACTTGGTCAACAAAAACACAATTTATAGGTTAGAGACACCGATTGTAAATTGGTACATCGAAAAAGAAAGAAGTAAAGTACTTCTTTACTAGATGACCAAAAAGGACATCGATGTAATTATCAATTTTTTTCCTGTTATCTACTATAAGGTATGAAAGTGCAGCGAATACCGTTCGAACATCTTTCGTAAACAAAAAAACGACAAAGCGGAAGGAGTTAATAGATATTCGACGATGAATATATGAGTGCTAAAAGTTCAATTCAATATCAATCAGCTTTGCAGGGTAAACACAGTATAATAACATTTAGCGATAAAACTAAATTCGCTTACAAGCCAGAGATGAATGACATCGACATGCGAACATTATGTTTATACAGGGGTGGAAAGGGAGACACGCATGACGATTGTCAGCTAACTGTTTACAGTGTTTGTTACCGTTCACTACATATCTATTTCTACGATAATGTGCAGGACAATCGTTATATCCAGTTACACTACCGGGGTCACTCCATCGACAAATCAAAACTGCGACACAAGCAGCGGCCACACAAATTTACAGCTAATAGAGGGAAGCAAGCTAAATTATCGTGGGTTTGGGCTCCAGGCCAGAGCGTATGCGAAATTTCTGATATGTATCCGTGTGACTGCGTTGATCAGATCCAAGGTGTAGTGAAGTAATAAATAAAGGTATCTATATAAATTATACATGAAATTATGTTATAAAGATTAAGCCTAATTCAATAAACTAACCTTACTTTAAAAACACGAAAATAATGTAACAATTGCATTGGACATGAACCCTTGTAAACCTTATAGCAGTAGTGCTATTTTCAGGACTATTATATTTAAAGTTCGGAACAATCTCAGTGAAACCAATAATCGTAATATAGTTTGTAGGCTGGATACGATGACTGGCCAAAGTGGTCTACTTTAATCGTCAATTGGTAATACAAATAATAATCGCTGGCAGACCGAGTCAGAAGACTATTACTACTAAAGGGTTTTTTTATCCAAATCGAAAATCTTCTTTTTTATACAATTGTTTCTGGTAAATACAACATTGGATAACGTAAGATATAACAATATAGATTGAAGATATCTATAACCGAACAAGTTTTGCCATTGCAGTTAATTCGGTTACTGCTGATGCATACGATATTATAGTATTGATAGCGGGAGGCCTATACCCCCCAACACGGGCAGCTGTCCACCACTTTCTAGCTAAAATGGCTAATACCGTTGTACCAATACCGTTCGTTTATCTAAGGCCGCGCTGAGAATTATGGCTTGACTAAAAACTTTATTTTGGATGCAAGTAATTTGCCGTATGTTTGTCTACCCGATAGTAATATTTAAACGGTAGAAGGAAACGATCCGAATTTATGCACCTTATCTTTTTACCAGTTTGTGTCGACATCTGCCAGAATCTACCACCAGTGAGTTAAAAGAAGTTATCAACCTAGCAGTCATGACAGAAAATAGAACTATCCAACATAACAGAACTGTTCCTTTTCAGTACGTTACAAACACGCATATATTTACATCCATAATGTGTTGTATAAGCTCTTAGATCAATATTTTCAGATATACTTTTCGAAGGACGAACTTGGAGGTGTAATTTTTTTCCCTGCACTTAATAAGTGTTTTAAATTTTGTGCGTCCGATACTAGTACTAGGCATGGCTTCAGATAACTGGTTCTCAGCACGCAACTAAGTATGCCTACCCCCCGATCATGGACCTAGACCACTCTACTCTCTCTCAGATTTAGCTAGCACTATACCGGCGCTAGGACTAACTACAAGTAGCAACTTAGAAATGCGCCTCATGGCATACTTTGGTTATCATAACCTATACTTATTGACTCGCATCGCCGCGATCTCTACCGAGATAGATGATTATCTAACCAATTTTCTCGTAAAAGTATTCTTTTCTAAAGCGAAAGATAGCGTAGTCGCCTAGACTGCGCCTGAAAACATCAAAATCTGCGTAAATATCTCTCCTTTCCAAATTGCTGGTGGCACCTTCTTCATTAGAGGCATTTTCTATGAATTAGAGGTTATCTGTATTGACGTTTTTTGAGTCTTCATGGCCACTTAACTCAATTGTTCGTAGACCAGCCTAGACATAGAAATAAACTTTTCGAAAATTTTTCTTGCAATAACACAGCGAAAACTGAAAAACATGTTCTGTATTAAGTGGACTAATACGACGAACCCTAATTTTTTGTAAAGCAATCAGGAAAATAACTGGTACGCATTTCCATACAGTTTTAAACAATAAGTTAAGACTTTAATTAATATAGCTGTAAACATGTTTGAAAATGCTCCTTTTGGTTAAGATAGTACTTCGAGACTGGCAGACGTAATCTTCCGTATGTCTAACATTATTTTCAGATGTCTTAAAACTAAAAATCAGCTCTATTAACTAGCTGGATTACATTTGTTGTATTCGTAAGCAATATTGGAAAATAAGCATTTTTTGTCGGCACCCCTCGATATCGGAGACTTTTAGTCCACCGGTTCAGACCATTTCCAATAAGAACTTCTTCTCCCGATGTTTTTTAAACGAAGTTCAAAAAAACAGAATAGAAATCAAAGTAAAGCGGTAACAAAGCAAAACAAGGATTACCAACCATGTTTCGACGTGTTGCTATTTGAACTCGGCGACCTCGCGTGGCTCAAGCTGACAACATCCGCTCACTCTTGTACATTATACAGATATAGAAAACATATTTTGTGACGTTCCCGCAAAACAGTAGGAAATACAGCGGTTCACTAAACTTAACAATCTTCTTTGAATACTTGTCTCCTTGCAACTATTCGGTTCTTTTCAGTGAGGTTTCGACGGGTTTTTTGGAGAAAAATTTCATCATAAATGACAACATTCTGTGGTAAAATATTCATCGTTCTTTTCAAGTTTTCAAAAACTGGTAAAGGATGCTGTATATCAGAATCATTCTCGCAGATACTTGGTGAAATAATGCATGCCCTTCTTGTCTCCAGCTATAGTTTCCTGGGACGATCTACAGGTCTTATGTGGTTAGCGCCAAGTTGTTCGCGATTGCTCGTCACTAACCTTAACTTTAAGCCGTTCTTCTTTTTAATATTCATGTGCGAACAGCTGTTAGGCATTTTCTAGGCCATCATCATTCTAGGTTTTGTTAAGTCAAGAAGATGGCCTCCGGTGTCAAATTGGTCTTATTACAGCTGTTCGGTCGAGACGCAGCGTTATACATAAATATGTGAGAAAACTGGAGCTTGAACTGAATTGTGAGCTCCTAAAATAAACACAGGACGAACATCAGAGCATCGCGACACTCTAATGATAGGCATTATCTATCCGCATAAGGTCCGTAAGGGCTACACAGAGTCTATCAAATAAAGCTACATATAAAAAAAATGAAATTTGATTAGTTTATATAATTTTTATAATTTTCCTTTTATGGTTACCAACGCTAATCTTTGATGTAAATAAATGCTTAGAAGCTGGTTGCGCAGCATGGTAGAAAATCTTGGTAAAGCATAATTATACTCGGTCTTTGATTTTCAGGGACTCTCTTTCTGTAGTTCGTTTTTTTTAAATCTAGTCCATGATTTTTACAACATTTCATCGGAACATTTTACAATTAAAGCTGAAGTACAATTAGAGTTGAACTTAGTTTGATCCTCACATAAAAGCTCATATGGTGCTAAAGGTGTGTTAAATGAGATCAGAATAGTCTTACTTTCAATGCCAGTTCGTAGTGCTATTCAATGACTCCATGTCTCGGCGAATCCAAGTCCGGTTCTGGGATTTAAGTCCGACACTACACTGGGTGTCCAGGTATCTTGAAAGTCTTCTAAAAAATAATATCCTATTGTAGAATATTTCGATAAAATGCCAAAGAATGTTATCACAGTCGAGCGCCATCGGACGGTAAATTTGGTATAACATTTACGTCTTTAAGCTTCAAATCACATAAGCAACAAGGAACCACATATATTTTCATACAGATTTGTCTAGAATTCCTGTACAAATTACCCGAATACATATAATTTGATATAAACCCTTCATGCGAGAAAATCTGGACACACAAATGGACAAATAGCAACTACAGACGGAAGCCCTACTTATGGTGAAAAGCTCGGTGTTTCTGAGGAGCGAATTATGACAATGCCTATCCGCAAAGTCAGGCTAAGGCCTTGACTTGGTACTGTTTATATAAGTAATGTGATTCATTAGAACGATTTGCATTCATGATACAATAGCTTTCATATTCCGTTACGGTACGTCTATTACTACTATTATAAAAGCAATTCAATATTGTACAAGTAGAGAGACGCATAATGTTTTCTATTTCAAATTGGTTATTCTGTATACAAACGCAGAAGACCTCAAGAACCCTAATCAATAGTGGACTACAAAATCGCTATCCGCATGTTCATGTAACTGTTTGAAGCCACCGCTTAGAGAATAGATTTTCCCAAAAAAACATCCGCCTATTAAATTTGTTTATATACTTCTTTACGGTTGACATTTTCAAAGGGAGCCCTAAACGAAGTAAAACATCGAAGTAAGGTTAGCTACAGCATTTGTTTTCTTGCAATCGAAACAGCAAACAACAGTACTCGATGTATTTCGATAACGAATTCAATAAAAATAACGAAGAAGAAAGATAAATTGACACAATCTATGTTAATTAGTTCCAGATATTGTGTTTGCTAGAAATAAAAGTTTGACATAACTAGGCCGGAGGTATTCACTTTTTTAAAAAAGACTAATCACGGCAAACTCAAATCAAGCTTTATTCTTTAGCCTTCGGTAAGCTTCAATGACTCGTTCTCGCTCGACTTCAAGTTCAGCCCTTTTCGAGGCCTCAAGACTTTTCCATCGGATCTTCTCTAGGCCAGAGATTGTATTTATGTCGAAATCTCCGGACCGAACTTCTTTTGCTTTGTTTTCCTTCGGCGCCTGTTCCACGCTTGTATGAGAATCACTACTTAGGGATTTTTTTACCTTCCCCATGTTCTCCGGATTGCACATCAGACTTTTAATGGTTTTTTTAGGATCCCGTTTAGGAGCGCCTATACCATGACGTGAAAAACAAACAGTTACAATGGATTAATATGGTTGGTTCTTTATTACTTGATACGAAACAAACTTTCCTAGTCATTGAAAAAGACCAAGTTTGGAGTAATCAATAGATTCTCTGTCGACAAAAGCAACTAGACCATTGCCCTCATCGTTTAGTATATTCTACCGAAGATAAACGGCTACGTAAGTAACTACTACGTAATAATGTCAAATAATAAAAATAAATAAATAAATAAATAAAAAAAAATACATTTTCTGGCTTAGGTGTATTTAGTCATTACTGTCAACTAGATGTAGTAACACGACCTCTAAGTTTCGCAGTTATCTCTGGTGGTGCATGTACAACTTCCCCGAACTTAAATCGCTCCTTTCCAGGGAATTCCTTCGGTGGACGATTGGTTTCCTCGCATATGTCACGCGGTTTTTTCAATATCATCGATTTAGCTTTTCGCTTTTCCTTATACTCTTGCAGTCGTCTAAATAAAAACACACAACATTTAAATACAAACACTACTTAATAACACACACTTAACACACTTAACACTGTATTCATTCACTCCAAAACTACGTAGTAACAATACTTTATAATGCACATACGCAACTTCTTTTCGTGCAACATCGACAAAAAGTATCCCAAATATATACATTCAGAAACTTTCCACCTGCGTAAAGGAGTGCATTATTAGCGAATTATTTAGCTTATATGCCGAAATGTAGTTTTTGAGGAGCTGACATTCCAAATAACACCAAATTAACAATATTTCAACAGAAATTTCACACAATATTTGTGTTATTTAGATATCCTGTTAAGATAAGTTTACTGTAAACTTTTGCTTTTACACCCCGAAAACGGTAAGTTCTCGGAAAAGTGTTCCCTATGACGGTCGAGTATCCTTAAGTAAGGATCACCTTCTGAAATAATTTAAATGGACAGAAGGAATTACAAAAAAAAATCCAAAATGCTAAAGCACCTTTCCGTCAAAGAAAAATTAACATTTTATAAATAAAACATGTTCAACAAACAATAGTGCAAGGAATACGTACCTTTTTTTCCTAGTAAGTACACTCGCTGAGTCAGATACTTCATGCGTGAGTGAACCATCCTCGTTGAAGTGGACATCAAATTTCGCAGAGATATCCGCCTTTTCACGTGCTCTATTAGCCATCTGTGAAACCCTGCGATATTCGATCACAATTCCAAATCGGTGTTTTATTACAAATTAGAGACATCTAACCCTTGTTATTTTCCAATTTTAAGTGTTTTTAATTGACACATATGTGTAAGTATATTAGTAACAGCAAAGCTTGAAATCATGATACCTACTTCTACGAGCCAAAAACTTAGACTTGCGATCCAATACACTGATAACATTTTCCAAATACGTGCTACAATTAAGAACTTTTGTTTAACAATTTGGCTACTTGACTACTGACCTCCTGAGGAATTGCTCATTTGTTTCGTAAATGTTCTGGGAGACGAATGATGCTGTACCGTTGCGGTGATTCAATGTGCGAACTAAAAATAAGTAATAAAAGTTCAAATAAACGATCAGTAAGGAAGCAAGATATATTTGACGCGACACCTTTTGAGGTAAAAAGTTTAAATTATGAGAGTGAGATTCGCTACAAAGTTTTGAGTCAAAATTTTGCACTCAATCAATTGCAATGAGGGAAACAAAATTTTCCCTCATCGATTTAGTTCGACACTGAACAAAGCATACTGCTAACAAAAGCGTAGCGAACATATAAGTAGGTTATATACTAACCTATAATTCGGTTGGTTTTTTTTTTTTTTTTTCGTTTTGTTGGTCCATCCATGTCATCCATAATGAAGAGCCTCTTTAGCGAACCGGGCGCCTCTTGACCAAGCTTTTTGGGTGCCATGTTTTGAAACTCATCCTTACTAACGGAATCAAAACAAACCAGGAAAGGATCATATTATTATTGAAATCTAACCTAACCGAAAACCTTATGGACTCGAGCTATCTATACATAGCTTTGATTTTCTACGTATCCGATTCAGGATTTAAACACATCAAGTTACAAAAGTATGCGTTATTAAGCACCGATCAACATTGCTTGTCATTTTTATTCTTAGAAAATGAGTATCACTTGAATACTTCATAGTTTATTTCATTTCAAATATACCACATATCTAAAGCGCTCGTTAGAATGGACAATGCTCCACTTAAGAGCCCGCCAAATACACAGAACATCTCTTATGTCTGGATATAAAATGGCAAGTATCTTAATATGATAGGGCGATAATCATTACACCCATGTGGATAGTTACTACACTGGCAGTCGCAGGTCCCAAGGTGGCTTCAGAAAAAGGTTATAAGTGTAAATAAGCTATTTTCCTCGTATGTTTCGAGCAGGTTTTCTTGGTAAAGTTATTACTTTGAGGCCAAACTAAATGGTAACTAATGCTATACATTTCATGAAGAACACTCTTAACTTACGTTTTTTTAGCTGTCAGAAGGCAGTATGAGAACGACTTAGATCGCCCAGGCCAGCAGGGACCTGATGTGGCTCCTAAATGTTTGATTTCCACGGGTCGAAAATATATGATATTGTACTTATAGATACAATTGTCTAGAAGCACGTTTTTTGGAACCAATAAGCCATGTCAATGTATAATAATAATCCACAATACTAGCATGGAGGGCCATTCTCACTAATGCTCTTCATGAACTTACCCTTTAAAGGTATTTGAATTCGCTTTTCTGTTGAAGGGGTCAACTGGTTTTAGTTTGTTGTGCTTTTTACTCCGTATTTTCCTGCCCATCACAGAAACACTATTTAGAAAAATATCGTTAGTTTATTGTTAATTTAGCGGTCAAAAACGATTATTTAATAGCAAAAAGAGATCTCTGTTGAGATCTGAGAGAACAAGCAACACGTGCTGTCAACAAAAACAATCAGGAAAACGAGAAGGAGTTAGTTTAAACAAAATGGCGGGAAATTATGAAATGCTGATAAGCTAACGGACCGGAATAGAAGCTTACTTATACATAACGCCTATATTTTTAAGACCTTTCTTTTACAATAAACTATTGTTAATCATTGCAAAAGCTAAATATAACTATAAAAACACTAAACAAAGATAGAGGATCATCAAAACTGACTACGATATCAACTGTGGTCAGATGTTTTCATTCAACATTTAGATTATTGGAGGTAATTAAAAACGATCGAATACGGGTAGTTTTGTTGATCCTTGTTAGTTACTCTGAAAACACATTACCTGCATTTCGGATTATGACGGTTAGGACAGCCTCTGCATTGTGCAGTCCCCGTATTAAAACGGCCTTAATAGCTTTTTGTGCTATTATCGCTCAGTGCTGAGCTGTGTGTTTACCTTTGTTGGCTGCTGCGAGCACTGAACTCCTTTAACTGTGTAATGTTGATACCTTAAACATACGGAATCATACATACAAGAAAATAACTACACCATTATATCACTTATCCGACAACAGAGATCGTGCAATTTATTCCACTTATATTATTATAAATTGGTTAGTTGCATGTTTTTTACCTTATTTTTTTGCCTAATAGTTCCACTCCATTCTGATGATTCACGATTCTTTATTCGATCTATTCTAATCCTCTCTCTCAAATATTATTGTTACTTTAAAATCCTATTAATTCCTGTACCCCAGCTCTGTCATCAACGATATTTCTCCCGCCTCTTCGTTCGCTATTGTCTTCGTCCAAGTTAGGTTTTTATGGTCCGATTGATTGTACCCTCTATATTCGAGATGTCTTCCGTTTTCTAGAACACTCGACGTGTTCAGATCTGTCGTAGGCGTTCCAATAGGGTTTCAGCGTGAGGTATTTGTTATTGACACTCTTATTTCTCTTGTTGTTACAACTATTATTATGCTTACTATTATAATATCGTGTTATCGCACTTTCATGTTTTTAATGATTAAACATATTTGACTGGAAACTCGTTCATATATATATATCTGGATTTGTATTTATATGAACTTGTAATAACACGCTTGGCTTATTTCTTGCTAGGCGCATTTTTCTCCAGTTAATCTTTTTACGACATATCTCGTCGTCTGTCTGTTGTCAAGGGTTCCTTTTTCGTCTCTTTTATAGTATACTAATTTAATCGTTATACTCCTGTTTGCGCCTCACAAAAAGTAGAACATTACCACTAAACAACGGCTTGTTTTTATCATTATAGTAATTAATTATCATCATTAATAATGGTTCTGTTATTATTATTGACAGCACCTTGATTCTTTTCCCGGTTGTCATCTTCGCTGATATTCCAGCTTCGCCCGTAGCTTCTTGCTCACTAACATGGTTGTCAGACCGGACCCTAATAATCTGATTAATTTTGTGCCACATTTAACAAAAACAGTGATCCCCGTTTATCTCTTTGCTGATTAACACCATCCCCTTGTTACACCTTTTCTCCGCTTTTTTTTTGTTCATACAATTTGACTTTATCGCGAGAGACACAAGCTCCAACACCGTAGCCATAATCTCCTCAACAAATATAGTGTAATTATTTTTTTTCGAAGTAGCCGAAATATATCAGCACAAAATTGGTTCACTAGGCATGACTACATTGTTTTCTTAAAAGTCCAATTGCTTGACACTTACAGCAAACGATGTTTTACATATCATGTGGAATTCGTCCCGAAATTAATAGATTACGCAACGATTGTGCGACAATATTATAAATAATAATGTTTTTTTTTATTATATATACGCAGATGCGTTTTTGTCGTCCTTTCGTTTTGTAACACATCGGGCAATCTGTCTCAAATCTCATTTAACATAGTAGAGGACCTAACGATAGACACACCTATATCATATATATATATATATATATATATATATATATATATATATATATATATATATATATATATGAATACCTAAATACAAGTCTTGCGTTAGTATCTAAATATTCCTTTGCGTTCTTTTTATCGAAGTAACGGTTGAAGTGTATGCGGTTAGGGAAAACCAGAAGAAATATACATGATCGCCATTTTGAAAGAGTGGTCTCTTGTTTTGACCAATCGATCCATCGAAGGAAACCTATAATGGATCTGTCAGTGTTGTTATGATATTAAAAAACGTCTCATGTCTCTATCAAATTGTGTATTCTGTGATGTGAACAGCTGCGCGTGGCTGCTTCGATGTGAGCGACGCGGACAACGCATATTTTGTTTCTCGTTCTATATTATAGAATTTTTTTTCTCTATATAGTTATTGTGTCGATAAGAGAGTGGTAAGTATTACGGAGTAAATATATGTTTATGTATTTCCGTCATTGTGTCTATATCTATTTTTTTCATTAATTAGTAATGTAATTATTATATCACACATATTGCGCTCGGTCTTCATCGTTCTATCTGGTATCTAGCCCGATCCTAGCTATAGGTATGGTTTCTTTTTATATGCTCCCTCACCGCCACAAATACGGGAATACGCAGCTGGCGGTGTGTAGCCATTTGTATACGTAGTCAGTCATTGCAGGAGAATAATGACACACTTATGAGCCGTGGTTACCAGCCCGCATTTTTCCTGACTTCTTTATCGTTAGAGCAAATTTTCCGTGGTGTTAAGAGAGACACACAAACGGCAGACAGGATAGAGTGATGAGGTTAGCGTTTACAGCTAAAGGCAAAGAATAACCACGCCAACCAGCTTTCTTGTCGAACCCCATCTCCCACCCACATCTACGGTAATATGTTGGTCATATCAAATAATCATAGACGTATCTATAAGTTCATCTGTATAAATGATGTCCAGTTCGGACAAACGCGCAGGCTCACATCCGCATACATGCAGGGATGTGTAATTGCTTGCTGTAGGGTAATGAAATTCTACATTATCATAGGGTAATGATATTATACTCTAGCAAGAAGTGGAAGAGATACACAGCGCAATATGGTGTTGTAACTGGTAGCCCATTATGGCAGTTGTTAGAAGTGCGTCCATTTATCTCTTTCTTTAAATTTTTCTTATTATATTCTAAGTTTATTATTTACTTTATAACTCACATAGACTGGATAATAAGGTTGTCTGCTTCTGTCCCCTTGCGAAAACTATTTAGCTAGCTATACACCAACACACTCACACAATTTCCTACTATTAAAGTTCCGTTGTGATACGCTGTATATTCTAATGTGAATGATAAGCATTTTCAATACCGTTATTTATCTCCATATTGTTATTTTTATCGTACTGTAGTTATTATCACATTGACTTCATTGTTATCTTTTACATATTCATTAATGTATATAT